CTGCTTAAGGCTAAAATTAAGTTTCTGAAAGTTAGCTAAAACTAACATAGTTCCAAAACTAAATTACCAAATAGCCCTATGAGATAATATTAGCTATAGTAGAAACATATACAAGCGCTTTTTTTTCTCCCAACATGCCCTGGGGCATAAATAATAGTACAGCAGTTTTTGTCAGCATGTACAATGTGTTTCTTATATATCCTAAATAGTCAGGACTTAGTATCAGGTCTCAAGTAATTTTAAAGTAGAAGATCTTATTGGTCTTATGTTTGAAATTTCTGTTTAGTTTTGTTTTTCCTTCAGTGCTGTCTAAGTGACATGTGTAGACCTTTGTGTCTCTTAATACAGCCTATTGATTTCAGTTTAGCTCTCATTTTATATAAGACTTAATGATTTTTGCTGACAGACCTTTAGAGCCAGATATCCAGCTACCTTTCTCTTAGACACTTCCATCCCATTTCTGTCTTTCAGTACCATAGTTGGCCACAGCCTAGCTTGGAGTTCTGCATGTCAGGAATTCTCACATTAGATCTCTGCTTTCTTGGGGGGTACTATTATTATTATTATTATTATCATCATTATTATTATTATTATTAGCTTTTTCTCAAACAGGTAAAGTTCTTCCTTCTAATTAGCTTTTGAAAAGCTTCCTGAGGGACTTCTCTGTTTCGTAGTCAGTTAATGCTGATAATTGTATTCTGAACTTGTTATCTTCTACTTATCAGTGTACAGCAGGTTGCTTAACAGTAGAAGAGAGAGAACTTTGCTGTACTTGATTGAGGATACTAAAAAAAAAAAGAGAGTGGAGAGTTGCATGCAGTAGTGGCTTTATGGTTCCTTTGCTGTATATTGTATGTCTATTTATTTATTTATTTATTTATTTATTTCCAGGAATTAACTTTTGATCCTACAGGTCCATAAAGGGAAAAAAGGGATGAATAATATTCTTCCCATGTTGTATTTCATAACTAAGCTATATAATCTTGAAGAAATTACTTTCTTCAGTAGGATGGTAGAGAATTTGCATCAAATATACTTTATCATGAACATTCGTGTCAATGTTCTCAAGGAGCGACCTTGGTCATTTTACTTTGGAAATCCATTTAATTGCTCCAGACTAGTGGTGATTTTTTTTTTTTTTAATACAATGAGATTGCTACATTGAAAAAAAAAAAAAAAGAATAATCTTAGATTGGTCTTTTTTTTCTTTTCCTTTTTTCAGAGTTTCTATGTTTGCACATTCATCTGAGCAATTGCTAGGGCATAAAGATAGCCAGCGGGAGTCATTGACATTGCTTGATGCTAAAGAATTACTGAAATATTTCACACCAGAAGGGCTACCAGTTGGCGATCTTCAGCCACTACAAATTCCCAAACGGTATGAATCCAGCATATTAAAACCACTGAAGACCATACTGAGAACTGATGTAGGGGAATGTGAACAACCACCAAATGAGAGTCTCAGAGTGGCCTAACTGGATTTGAGTTTATAATTTGCAACATCCTTACATCACACACCTGCCAGTGAAATCAGCTCTTAAGGTTCTCCAGTCAGTCTTGCTATTTAGTTCTTTCAGAATGTGAAGTGGCCGGAGATGTTGATGTTGGTCCTATGCATTTAAATAAGAAAAAAATCACCTGATGTGTAAGTGTGCCATGGCTATGCTGCAAGCTGCTGTCACCATATCTGCACGTTTCCAAAAGAGTATTTCTAGCAAAGCAGAAGTTACTGTGGCAGATCTTTAATTTTATTGTGTGATTTCTTTCATTCAGTGGAGGGGAGACTAGGTGGGAAGACAATTAAAGTGTAAAAAGGGCAATAGTTGAGCCTATTTAACTGCATTTGTCTCCTGTCATGCTCGTCCAGCATTCCTGTCTATATTATTACATGGTAAAGTGCTCCTTAAAGGAAGTTTGTGTACTCTGACTGCTTTGCGAGTATTCATCCTTAGTGTGTCTGCTGGTAAGTATTAGTGTATTAAGCACTGCTTTTTCAGCA